AAGGGGAAATCTCTTCAGCACAACACAGCTTATACATATTATATATTGCTATCACAAAACTTTTATCTTTATAGCACCAAGCACCTTGTTCTTATTCAGTATCCTCAAACCTATTTTATAGCACCACATCGCTAATATAATTTTATGCCTTCAAGATACTCGGGGAAATCTTTGTTGCACATAATTATTTGCTGTTAATAAAGTTGCATGGGATTACAGTATAAGTGATCAAAATGAAAACTTTGCAAAGCATATAATTCTTAGGTACAAGATGTGACTAAGTCTGTATGCATTAGATGTTTTGACGGGTTTTGATTTATCGTGATTTTTAACTTATGATTATTTCAAGGCTTTCAAGATCAGAAAAATGAGCAAAAGGCCGCATTAGCGACACGTACTGTGGTTGACACGACAGCGGGAGTAGATGAAAGTGGCAAGTCTGTTACCCAAAGTAAGTACCATATAACACATCACAACAAATGAATGCATACTTTCAACGAGCCTAGATGACTATCTTCAAATCTCGACACAGATGAAACATAACAATAAATCTGAAACTTTTTCAACTTGCAACTATTTCTTCTAAATATACCAAAACTTAGAGAAAAATTACTCAAATTACGTTGCTAAATATACTAAAATAAATAATTCTGTAGCCTTGTACAGGTTTTACAAACTCTGTGTAGCTCCAAACTACTGCTACAACTCACCATCCACAAATATAAGGGATACTCTCTGTAGCACGACCAAGCTGCTACTTACTCAAAGAGTGTCCTATAACCTTTCTGATACTTCCTGTAGCTCCATGCAGCTATTGCACACTTAGTTTCCCTATACCCAGGGGAGACAATCTCGATTGTATTACATACCAAAACATAAGGAATACTCTCTGCAGACAACTCAGATATAACATACGAACTATCCCCAATCCTGGAACATAGTCTTTGTAGATGACACAGCTGTGACATACAAAGTATCTCCAAGCTTAATTGATACTCTTTGTGGTACCGGACAGCTAACTGATAGTCTGTGTCTCGAAACTGAGGAGATATTTTCTGTGATAACACACAACTATTGTACAATTAAGTATCACCACACCTAGATCCTTCTATACCCACTATTCCTATAGAATCGCACAGTTGTATCACACTCAGTATCCCCGTACTTTGGCGATACTCTTTGCTGTGACATAGGTTTAGTACATACCCATGATCCGCAAACATAGGGAATTTTCTCTGTGGTTCCACACAGCTATTATATAGCGAGTATCCCCGAACTTAGGGATTACTCCCCATCCTTCTACACAGCTATTACATAAAATGTGTCCCCAAACATTGGGGATAGGGATGGGGGAGGTCAATTTTGTAGTACCACACTGTGAAGTACACACTGCATGACATATTCAATATCCTGAAATCAAGGGGATACCCGCTGTAGTACTGTATACTTATTTACAGTGTAGTATCACCAAAAATATATATAAAAGCAAAAGCCGTGATTAAATATGTTTGAATTCCGGTTCGACAATAACAGCATAATTACTTCATGATAAACGTGACGATTTGATCTTCCTGTTGTGACCTTTTCAGTTTATGACGGTAACCTCCCTGTTCTCCGCATTGACGGTGTTCAAATGTCGCAGTTGTTTCGACATCCACGGGCAAACTCCGAATATTATGATTTCCGTTAAAGATGTCGACTACTGACACACGAGCTTACAACACATAGTTCTATGCTGGATGATGAAGGCTATGGACAAAGAATGGTCGTCATCATGATCTCATAGGGAACTATCTAATTCCTCGAACGACATAAATTACGACACTTACTTTTTCGGACGCTTGGATCAATAAAATATTTCGTTAAATAAACCCAGTATGTTTAATATTACACCTTGAATAGTTTGTTGATATATTGTTTTCGACAATCGTGATTTTTAATTGATGATTATTTCCAGGTCTTCATGATCAGAAGAATAAACTAAAGACCACAACGACAAGTACTGTAGCCACCACCACCACACTAGGAGGAGATGGTGGTCTCAGATCAGTAACCCCACGTACGTGATATATATTCACTATCCACAAAGCTAATAGATGCAAATAATCCAAGAATCTAGGGGACAATCTTATCAGCAGCACACAACTAATACCCATATGATTTCCATAAATATTCTTGGTATAATCTCTTAAGCACTGTTCAGCTGATTCATTTTAGTATTCATAAACCTGCATGGAACTGTTGTAATGTTAGGATTTTCTAAAGATATGGTTTGATACGCCCAGGCTGTTTGCTTGTAGACATTTATGAGTTTATATATATGCATTAAATGTCTGCGATAATCACAATCTTTCAATGTTGATTATTTCAAGATCGTCAAAGTCAGAAGGATGAGTCCACAATCACATCAAGTACAACAGGGAGAGATGGTAGAGGGGGCATAAACACAAATCAAGCTTTGGCGTTCTTTTGTCCACATGAATGTACATACTGTCTGACGTTCGAAAGAAAAGAGAACACAATGTGCAGGGCGTTCGATAAATACGGATCCATAAATCAGACATTTGTCAATGCTCTATCGCAGGTTCTACGACAGGCTAATGACGAGATAGTAGCTTTACCACGTACGTACATATTTATAAATGCGAATTTATTTTTAAAACTGAAGCTCAAGCCA